TCATATTTTAATATCATAAGTCAATTATCACTTTTACCACATTTTATACACCTGAAGCTTTGTTTTTAACTATGCTCTGCAGATAATCTGACTTGACATGACCTAAAGTATTTTTCTAAGCCTCATGAGCTCCAGGTTGACTTACTATTCACACAAATTCTACTTCTCCCTACTTTAATTTTGATATTGTACTTTCACTAGAATTATACAAATATTGCATTGCATTTTTTTTATTTATTTAACATGTTCTTTATGCTTTTGTAATTATAAATACTTGTGTTTATGTGCATGAGTTTTTCAATGACCACATGAAGCTATTTTTTAGACTGAGCTAATACTACAGATTTGCCATGACATGGCTTTGATTGTGAGAGACTTTTTTCGGCTGTGAAAACTACAGTGCCAAAGAGCAGGGCAACAGTTCTCTCTTTGGGATACAACAATACATAACATACATCTGGCCATGTTAAAAACTGAGTTTCATCAACAAATTCCATTTGTCAAACATTTGTTTTTGTCTGGTAGCAACTCTGATGCCTTGCATTTAATAAATTAGCAAATATTCTTCTAAGTAAGCTTTCTTGGTCACTCAAAAATGTACATGCCAGTAATGACATATAAAACGTGTGCAGTCCCAGTTGCAGTGTACGGTTAAAAAAAAAGTAGATGATGCACAAATAACATGAGACTACTTGGCTCACTGCCCAAATACAGAGAGTAAACAAGGCTCCTGATTATCAGATCTTTGTTCTGGTAAAATAAGTCAGTTTTACCCAATTTGTTGAGTTCATTAATTTGTCATTTACCACAAATTGCAACAAAGTATGTACTGAAATATTATTTAGTTTGTTTTTGTGTTATTTACTACATATGTTACAGATACTACTCTTTGATAGTGCATATGTTTTCTAACAACAGATTTGAACTTGCATTTTAAACTTGTATTATAAATTATAAATATGGAATGAAATGTAAATTATAAAAGATTAATATGTTCTTTCAAATAGATCAGTTTGACTGCAGTAGTAGTATGGACTTGTTGGTGGTTTGGCTGTTTCAAAATAAGATCATTAAACCACAGGGAGATATCATGAGACAGATTTTCTTCATAATTTCATAAGCAAGCTGTTCTCTCTTGTCATCCTTATCCACAGAATCTCCAGTGTTGCTCTTTTTAACGCTTCCCTTTCACACCTGGTTGCACTGTATTTGACACCTAAATTCCCTGTCTTCATTACAAGATTGGTCCGAAGTGTCTAGCACACTGTGCCAGCTGCCCAAGAGTCCATATTAGTCTATTAAGGATACTGTGTGTCTGGATGGCAGAGGGCGACTACGGTATTTATAGCTTTGAGTCATAAGCTGGAATGGTGTGTATCTTTCCATCAGCATGCTTGCTCACTTAAGAGTGTGTACAATCTGCAGTGAAACTAGGGACTGTCAATTGTCCAGAGTGAGTCAGTTGTCATAATTACATGCGTTGTCCTTAGGGGAAGATAGGTCTGTTTTATGTTTTCACTATTATATGTATCGCAAACACCTAAACCATGCAAAAACATTCCATGTGGTCCTTTAACTTGATGCACAAAATGTTGGCATCATCTCTGACTTTGTTCTAATAATAATTAATAATAAAAAAATATGTGTTTTAGTCTAAAATATCTAATATTAGATGTTTGTTTTAAAACACCTTTTATAGTTTGGTTTGACTTAAATTTGGTACCCAAAGCATATTTCCTATATAACTTGAAATAGCATTATAATGTATTTTTCAGCATTGATCATATATCAGCATATCAGTAATACGTCTAGTGACTGAAGTTGCCCTAAATTAGGTAGTCATAAAATGTGTATAACAATGGTATCTATTATGTGTGAAATTTGTTTTAGGTGAAAACAGTGGCTTCAGTGGATATAATATCCAATTTGTTGCCTAAAGTACTTTAATTTTTATTGTTTAGTCCAGTGAAATTCAAAATGATCTTGTCATTTGAAGTTGAGTGTGTCAGACTTCTGCCGAGTCTCACTTGAAGTACTGACTTCCAGTGTCTGTCAGAGTTGATTGGATAAATAACACGGTAGTATGACTAGTAAATAGAACAAGCATGATGAAAGCAAGTCATTGTAATGTAGAATCTGGTTTCAGTTGTCTCTAAATACATAATGGATTATTTGATTCATTAAGGTTTTAGAATTGCTTTGAAATGCCGTTATTATTTGCCAGCCATTACAGCACATTGTGAAGTTGAGTGGTAGAAATCATTTGAAATTGCACAGCCTATGAAAAACCTATGAATAAATGAACATTACATCAGTTACAGTATTTTTCAGTCATTTCAAAATGCTAAACAACTGAGTTTTCATTTTCTGTCTCAGGGTGTGATTTCAGGACCATACGTCTACAGCAGGATGGTTTATAGCTCAGGAGGACTATGAGTGACGATTGTGATATGATGAGTTTATGATGTGTCAATGTTATCACAAGACCAGATCACAACTACAGAAGCCAGAAGGAAGACAGACCTGGAGGTGATAATCCTCCAGAAGATTCAGTTGCATAAATTCATATTTGAAAATTTCTCTTGAACATTTTTATATTTAAGAAGGACAACGACGACAACAACAACACATTTTATAATCCATCTAGACATGTACACTACAACCTTTTAAGAAGGATCTGTAAACAGTACCACTAATAACCATAATTCCAGCATCTTTGTCTAGAACAATTTGGGATTTCACCACGTCTAATCTGATTGGCCTGTTACCTTTCTGCAGAGTTGGTAGGAGCAGTGGCTTGATAGGGCAGTGTCAGGTGCTTAACATTGATGATGTGATAAATAGTTGAGTAGACTAAGTTTAGACAGCATGTGAGGGCATTCATCAGAAATTGAAAGGACAGGCCAGTCAAACAGGAACGCAGCACCAGTGACTGAATGGCATGGTTCTATTACAGAAATTTGTGTTGTTGAAAGCTGGTTTACAGGATAGTATGGCAGTATGAAAATAGATGCTTGGGGAGCTAAACACTTGATATTTGAAAAATGCTCTATACAGATATCCCTGTTTTACCACTCGCTCTTTGTTCAAAAAATTTTAAATTATATTACCCCACCCACTCACACGGTAGGTGAAATCCCTAATTTTTCCATTTGTTGGTAAGAAGTAACTGAAATAATGTTTAATCTACAAAAGATAGCAGCTTTTTATATCATCTCACAGTGTAGTGTGCAAACAGCTGTCTACCTAGCTGAATGCCCTTGAATTTACAGGTAGCCAGGTAGTTGTGTGAAAACCACAACTCTAGCATGAGCTGTTGTAGATTTTGCTATGTTATTTCCCACTAACTTATGTTTGCATTGTCTTATATGTGATCGCTCTAGTTTGAACTTATAACATTATCATCCAGAAGGGTAGCAAGAGCAACGAGACTGAATAGTGGAGCAGAAAAAGCAAGTCAAATGACATCGTAGTTGGATGATGGAAGGCTGCTGCTTATCTCTATGGTCTTAGAGAAGAATGTAAGGATTGTCTCTCTAGGAGTTCATTGACCTGGTGGGGCATTTTTCTCGTCAGTAAACTGGGTAATCATATCAGTGAAACATTCATGAGTCCACAACTTTTGCTACATCATGCGCTCCATATTCACCTCATTCACAGTTTAGTATACCTAAACCATTGTCCCAGGTTCTAATTATAACTGTATAATCAATGGTTGAAAACATCTGGTCTATCTTTAAGTGTCTGCTACTACTTAGTTGCATGGTGTGTTGTGATCAAAGGTTGGCATCATCTGCTGGTGCAACTCATTATTGTTACATTATGTGACACTCATGTAAGAAGTTGCACATGTACAGTATGGTCCTGTCATTCTATTCACTCTGTGGGCGAGGGGGCTGTAACCTACATAGACATAACACTTACTAACAGATTAGTCAATACTATGTGTGACATGACTGGCCTCAATAATATGGTATTGGTAATATTGATGATACAAATCCTCTTAGATAATGTAAGAACAAGATAGAATGGCAATAAAAAGGAGAGACCTGGCTATAACACTTCTGTAGACTGTAAGGAACAGAAGCAGCAACTGCGTTTGGGCTCACAAAATATTAACATATATACTGTATTCATGTGTATGTATGTGAATATGCTTTGTCAAAAATAAATATATAGAATTATAAAATGTATTCTGGCCACATTGCAAGTTGTAATAACGAACATTTGCTCTGCTTACCTGCTGAAATAAGCATCTTTTCTAATAACGTTGATCTGACCTAATCCTAACCAAAGGAAAATGCTTTTGCTGACCATAAACAAAGACACTGTTAGATTAGAGATGGTTTGGTGGTGAAGGCAGGGTGGAGCAGGTTGGAGGACCCAAACGCAGGACACAGAGGGGAGCAGGTATAGTTCAGTGGTTTTAATATAACAAAAAGCGAGCACACTTACAAACAGAGTGGCTGATAGACTGAGTCCAAAAACAAGGGCTGTCCAACAGAAATACAAAATCAAATAACAGCAGGGAAACCGGGAGACAGGACGAGTGGGGCTGACGAGTGGGGCTGACGAGTGGGGCTGACGAGTGGGGCTGACGAGTGGGGCTGACGACACGAAACACACTGCTATACAGGATGACAACATACAATGACACGACAAAGACAAGACAGAAACACCAGGTATATATACACAGGGACTAACGAGCAGGGCGGAAGCAACACAGGTGAAAGACATGAGGCTAACGAGGCACAGGTAGGGAGAGAGAGCAGGGGAAAACAGAGACAGACATGCAGAGGGATCACTGGGGTAACAGACATGACAAGGGTTACCAAACACTAGACGAAAGACAAGACAGACCCCCAAAACCCAAAAGACCAAAATAACGCTAACTAAACACAAAAGTGCAAAACACCGCATGGCAGACAGGCAGAGTGTGACAATTGTGTGAAATTGTATATTTCAGATTCCTGAGGTATGTGATGTTCTCTTTCCTATAGCATCAGTGCAGTACCTGTGGACAGCGGCGACCAGAAAGGCCTCCAGGTTGGGGGCCAGCTGCCCGGCGGTGTGCATGTGGGACCTCAGCAGCAGAACCAGCAGCTCCTCCTGACCCCAGCCAGCCTCCAGCTCGCTCAGCTCCAGGCCCAGCTTACTCTCCATCGCCTCAAACTGGCTCAGGGGGGCAATACAGCCACTGCCGCCACTGTTCTCAATCAGGTTCTTTCCAATGTCGCCATGTCCCAACCCCTGTTCAATCAGCTACGGACTTCGACTATGGTTGGGAACCCACAGGGTGCCTTCCCCACGGGTGTGCTAGGTTTTCCCTCTTCAAATTCGGCCTTGGGAGCCTTGGTCAGTGGTGGATTCAACCAAAACCCAGGGAATGTGAGACTAAACCATCCTGGTGGAGGGGGAGCAGTGGGCCAACAGGGTGCGGAGTATGGTAAAAAGTCAGGTTCAACTTACCCTTCTGATACTGACAGGCGTCATCAGTACAACTTTATTGGGGGGACATCTGCGGCATCAGCCACTGCTGGTGATGGACAGTACTCAGTGATAAACACTCAGGCAAAAAACATGAACAGTGTTGGTTTTCAGAGAGATTTCTATGGGCAAGATGTTCTGGGGCAGAAATCTGGGTTTAGCGTCAATGAGCAGAATGTGAATGTTTATAACTCCACTGGGATTAAGGAGCAATGGAAAGGCCCTGCTAACTTGAGTCAACCTGGAAAGGTTGATATGGTTTCTAAGGCTGCCAATTTGTGGACAGCAGCTGGGCAGCCAATTCGGTCCAGAACGGAACTGTACAACCCAGAGGAGCCAACCGCTGACCCCAAGTTCAATCCCAGTAGCGGGGTTTCCTCTTTCGGTTCAAGTGGCGCACAGGGGTTTGGGGGCTACCAGACCCTGCGTGGAAGTGAGGACACCCTATCTTCAGGTATCAGGACACTTCAGCCTTACCAAGTCAATGATTACCATGCTGTCACACCCACTCAACTACCACACCAGTGTAGCATCTGTGACAAGAAGGTCTACAACCTCAAGGTCAGTGAACTGATCAGTCAAAACCTAAATGTAGTGTAAATGTTTTGTAAACATGGAAGCTAAACTAAATGATTTACCTGTAAGTCTTACATTTGTCTGCTCACACCTTAATTAAACATAGACAATGGACAATTGAACAAGTGGGCAATCCAATCCTCAACTAGTTTGTCTTCCAATAAAACAGGAGGTCATGTGACACTCATAAGATTTCCCAAACCCTAAAATTTGTAAATGGTCCTGTCTTTGGGTGAGAAAATTAGCATTTCAGGTTGACATGAGCTGATATATTGTAGCTAAATGTTTTCATTTGACAGACAGTCACTAACTGACTGACTGATCCAATATGTTGACGGCAAGCAGTGAGCTTCCATGTTTGGTGTGTGTGTGTGTGTGTGTGTATGTTTATAGGACTGGGACCAGCATGTGAAGGGAAAACTACATCTGCAGAACCGAACGTTGTACACAAACGAAAGGTGAGTTATTTGCAATTCTAAAATTCTTTGGTAGGCTGTAATTGTGAAATGTGCTCTGAAATGCATGTCATTTTACCACTGAGTGATAAGGTTATATTTATGTTCACAAAGCTAGTGGCTTCACATGGTTTATTCTGTTTTTTTGTTAATTTTCAAACAATTATAAGTAAAAATATTTGCTTTTATTATTAGTGTTGAACATGGTTTGGTCATTTCCCCCATTTCCCCACTACTTTCTCACCAGCTGTGTATAAATGTAAATTTTAATTTAAAGCTTAAGCACTGTATTGATCAGTTCAGAGCAAATGTCTCTCTTGAGTGTTGGAAGCACTTTATTTTCCTTTTCCTTGGTCTATATACAGCTCTATTAATGTTTCTATGAATATGAGCTCTGTCACAAGATATGAGTGAGCACGGCAGGGGAGAGGCAGCTAAAATCAGCCTTCTATGATTGTTGCAGCTCCGCAGTGGTATCAGCTGGGGCTGTTCACTATGCTGTCGGCAGGCCTTCTGATGGAGGTCTGAACACCGGAGCGACAAACTCTATGGTCTACTCTACTGCAAGTCAAGGTAGGAGAAGTCACCACAAATGACCTTGTTTCTATCGATGTTAGAGTGATGTTTTTCTGATCGCTGGAATGCGTCAAACAACGTGATAGATGGAGTTCAGGGAGTATTTTTAGAGTTACTTTAGGGCATGAGGCAAAGTGTTTTTATAACTTGATACAGTGTGTTTTGAAATCCAAAATATGATGGACTACAACACTTACCCAAACCTTAATATGTACTTGTTGGCAGTTTATGACATTTGGTGAGCATATTTTAACAGCAAAACCACGTGAGACAAGCACAACACAAGTGTGTAATGCTTGTCAATATACTCTCAGTGCTTGCTGAGAATAAATTGACATCACAGAGTATCATTTCACTTCCCAGATGTTATTTCTTAGCACTGATGCACATTTCGAGCCCTATTATTCCAACCAAGTGTTTTTTTAAATTCCATAATTATAAAACACAGAAACTAATAAAAAGCAAAACAGCTAATAATGATTTTGTAATAATACACTTAGTAGGTAACATTTATAAAATGAGCCAAGAAATCAATAAATGGAACTTTTTCCCTCAGTTGGTCTACGCTATGAGGACAATTTTTCAATTAAAATTTAAAATTGTTTCCACAGATGTATCCTCAGGAGCCAATACAGCATACTTGCCAGCTGCAGCCATGAAGACTTATTCCATGTCAGACGCAGGATTTGCCTCACACCAGCCAGAGTCAAAGGTCAGACAAACCTTTGGGTTAGTCTCTCAGGATTATTAGAGTTTGCCCTTGGTATATAAATACAATTTTGTGACAGGCTATAAAGAATGCTAGTGGTAAAGAACCAGCTGTCATTTTAGAACATCCAGTTATTAAATATTAAGTGATATTGTTATATTGTCATAGTTATAGTGAATAATTACTTGCTGACTCATATCAATGACTTAGTAAGTCAGTAATAAAAATAATATAATACAATAATGGGCTCAGAGGGTACTGGCCAGTTTTTATTATTAATGTTGTTTGGTGCAGAGTAAGAGTGTGTGAGTCCGATAGGACGATATGTTCTTATATTTTATCTCTATTTAAGTTAAACACTGCATTTCTTCATTATACTGCCTTACTGCCATGTATATTTAAAGATTTTGTAAGCCCAAATGTGTTTTGCATAACAAAGGGTTCAACAACAGGCCTTTTCTGGGCTTGGCAACTCGTTACCACTCAATTAGATAACATAGCAAACTGTGTCATTACAATGTTGGCTAGAAGCTACAGTATGTCTTGAGATTTTTCATATGTACTTATTTTACCACTTAATGATTATCCAGCCCCCAGATACAATTTAAGTAAAATAAGGGGTATATTATAAAAAAGCTTCTGTATTGAGGAAGATGTGCAGTCCACATTTGTGAAATGATTCATATGTAATTTTAGTATGCGTTCTACGCTTCCTTATATATTTAATTGCTAATTACACAAATTGATACATTAGTTCCATTTTAGGCAGGGGGACACACATTTCACATTTTTAATTGTGTACTGTAAAAAAAAAGTGTTCAGACCAGACACAGCTGAGCCGTATCTTTAATTGTCTACACAGGCTCTGTACAGGCCCATGCTCCAACTGCATCACACACACTGTACTGTGACTGCAGAGCTAACTTGAAAGTGTTTATTTGCACTTCAAAAATCTTTTTTTACTCTGCTTACACACACATAGCCAAGCCATTGTGTTTGCTGCTGGTTTGACCACAGGGGTGGTGATGGTGCAATGGATAAGATGCCTGCCTTTGAACCCGGGTTCAATCCCCCACTGTGACCCATCCACCTTTGTGTCAGCAAAGCAAGCAAGACGCTTAACCCCTAGTTGCTCCAGAGGCCTGCAACCTCTGACATGTAGCAATTGTAAAAGCGTCAGCTAAATGAATAAATGTAAATGACATGACATGGTAAATGAGCAGTACAGTAACAACAAAGTACAGCGATGTTACAAACATCAACATCATTAGTTCAGAATGTTTTATCCATATTATATTGAGAGAAGCATTTTTAACAAATGTTAAATTATACCTTTTTTAGTCTTGTAATTTCAGTCAATTTACTTGTCTATAAGTGCTGGCTGTTGACTCGGGTTGGAAAACAGCACCTGTTGATAGGCGTCCATCACCAAGGCAGGTCTTTTGAAAAGCACAGTGCAGATGATGAGCGAGGTGAAAATTAGCCACAGCAAACCTGAGGAAAGCCTACTCTAGTGCCCAGCATGGAGCTTTCAACAGTCAGCGTGCAGTAACACGCACCCACTTCTTGAAACATACCTTAACAAAGCTTACTGTAAAATAGTGCATAATGTGCATCTGCTTGTTACAGCTCTTTAATGAAGCCACAGTATACGATGTTTACACAAATTATGCTATTAAAAGATGTCAAACCTTAAATGTTAAACTTTTTAAACTGTATTTCAGGCTGATGTATTTGGTTTCAGGATTTCCACCGAAGTGTAAAAGGATTGTACTTAAAGAGAAATAAATAAATATTACGTATACTTAAACAGACAAAATTAGAAAAGGAAAAAGATAACAGTGTTCAAAGAAGGTCCAGTGAAGAGTATGAATAAAATACAGAGAAAAATCTGGGCCTGGTAAAGAAATTTAAAACCATTTCTTCAATTCCAACAAATGTCCGTGACTCTGCTTATTTTGTCCCAGCCATTTGTTCTTTTGCAAGTGGAGCCTATTTAACAGGAGCCTGAATTCAGAAAGTCATACGCTTCACTGGTTGGTTATTGACAAAGGGTTTTATTGTAACAGTGGGAAAATATTAATAGGCTGCTACTTGAGCTAATGTTAGTTGCTATAAACACACACCTGTCTAAGCTGAACAGGTGGGGTTTACTGTTTTTAGAGTCCTGTGTTGAACAGAGTGCACTCCAAAACAACAAATGCACAACTACATACAATGATAATTTGTGAACTTACGGATGTATTCGATGTATTAAGTTTTATTTGTGTGTGTTCACATTAAAATTAAAATGTAAACATATTTAACAGTTGTAGAAACACACTGTAGAAATCACACTAAAAGAAATTCCTTTTGGTGAAGTGAAATTGAACATATTACACAACAATTTTAGACAAATTTAGATTGAATTGAATTTTGAATTGAATTGAATAGAATTTTTTTGAATTGAAATCTTTATTTTGAACATGCAAGAGACAGTATAAAAAATAAAACAATGTTTAAAAGAAATAGGAGAAAATAAACAACAACAGATGAGCAGCAAAAGTACCCTTCTTTCCTGTGTTAACATACTTCTATCATGTGCGAAAAGGAGTAGGAAGAACTTATGTACTCCTACCCTTTAATTCTTACATTCCTTCAATTAACAATTTTTATATTATTATTATTATTATTATGTTTTATATATATTTACACACACACACATTTTATGTACACAATATTAGAGTGACCACTGACAAGTATTTATTTATCTAACCTCGATTATGTAAAACAACAACAAAAAAATTTATTGATTTTGTGAGCAAAATAAAGAAAATCATGAATTATTACAATCTGTATGCAGAAGCTCTCTCTCTCTCTCTCTCACACACACACACACACACACACACACATACATACATACATGCAAGCATTCACACACATGCATGCTTGCCCATATACATGCTGCCCAGTTTGAAGTAACACAGTAGCTTTGTGTGATAACAGAACTCAAAAAGAGATAAACACAGGATTACAGCTAACTGCTGTTAGGAGCACAGACCTAAAGACCCCCAGGTCACACTACTAGGCAGCGGTGTAAAGTTTCAGACTAGTGAGAGACTGGTAAAATGATCCGAGGGATTGGCATGCAGTGCTCTGTGAAGGAACGTGGGGGGAAACTGTGAAACCAGACTGACCATCTCTCTGGATCCTTCAACATGGATCCTGCTCTGCACAAATAAACAAACGTGTCCTTAGCAGAGATTCCAGCTAATGTCCGTCAGCATGCTGTCAGTGAAAACGGGAAAGCACAGTGTGAAATGGTTGTTATCCTTTCCACCATTTGGCCCCAGTTTGGTAGGTGATAGTGTTGAGAGTGTGAGTTAACAACAGAACATATGGCTAAAAACAGTGTGGCAGGTAAAGCCATTACCTCTGTTGACTATAGTCTGCAAATTGTCTGATCAGTAGATTTATTGAAAAGTACATTAAACAGAAATATTACTGTTTAATTTTATTTTTAATTTTTTTAGCTTAATTTAGAAAGCCTGTTAAAATTTTGAAGTGTGATAAAGCCTACATTATATAGAAACTTATATTCATTACTCATTATATAGAAATGAACACGGGTTTACAGTAATTACACAATTTACATAGTTAATTCCCATTTTAATTTAAATGTTTTTTGAGCTGACCATGCAAATTACCCTCAGTATAAATGCAAAATACATATTGTATTGTGTTTTTGTATGGGTGATTCAAAACTGTTTAGCTGAGGTGTTGTTTCCAAATGTTTTGTTTTTGTTTTGTTCCATATATTGTTTTTGTTTTGTTCTATATATTCAAAGTCCCATCTGCAACCATTTAAGAAGGCCGCGTCTGTGTGTGCCTCCTTGTGAGTAGGCAACGACATGGCATAACTCTGAGCTGCTGGTTTGCGGTTAACAGAAAGAGCTACTGTTCAAAGTCTGAGCCAACCTTGACAGTGATATCTGTGGTCAAACTGTCTGGGCTTTCAGACACAGATGACATTTTACAGGTCAGACATCAGTGAGTGCAGCGAGCAAGACCCTTGTTCTCTGTAATATTCCAAGGACATAAACAGCTTATTCCTGGATCTGTTTATTGAGCCCATCTTGTATTGACCTTTATGTGTTCGGGAGGTGGCACTGGCATGGAGCTGATAATAGAATTATCACTCTTGCATCTAAAGCTGGCCAGAAACCATTAAGTTGTGCTCATCCAGATTTTGATTGGGATTGTGTGAATAGAAATATGGCCTGAAATACTGTACAAAATGTCTGATTTGTAAAATAGATCTGTCATCAGCCAAATCACTTTATTTACAACTTCACTTTCTTTGTCTAAAGTTATCAATCAGGTTTTTGTGAAATACCATCACATGTTATTTATGGTCTTTTTGTGACCAGTGCGTCGTGTATGTTTTGAATACTGATACACTTGCCTCTGATTATGTTTCGACAGGCATAGTGAAGTGACTTTGAGATTGTAAAAGATTCCTCCTCCCTACACTTCACGGCTGTTGGACCCAGTGTAAAGTGTATGTGAGTGTAGGGTTTTCCCTAAACAAATTCCTTGTAAAAACAGAGACCCTGGCCGCTGGTCAGAGGTGGAATTAGGACCCCAGTCTGTCCCACACATGGAACTGTCTGTCAGGTCTATCAGCCAGAGAAGCAGGAAGAGGAGGAGGGGCACTGGAAAAATTGCAGTTGAAGCACAATGGTTGCAGAAATAAGACTCTGTGAAATGACGAGATTAATTTACAACTGCTTTCCGCAATGATGTTAAAGGAACATGAGGTGTCAAACAGCTACTTTGATGGTGAGTGTATTTAGTGAATGTGTATGTAGTAGATAAATTGTTCAGAGAAAAAGGTGGGGGAGATGGGAAAGGTGAAATGAACACTAATAAACTTTATTTATACACTGAAAAAATAATTCATTGGATTTACTCAATTCAATAGTGGACATTGGTTGCACACAATTTTTTTGCTTTGGTAGCCACTTGCACATTATGTTCCATCAACACAGACTATTCACATTCAAGCAACACAGACTATTTACATTAAAACGACACAGTTTATTCATGTTCAATCAACACAAGTATTTTATATTGATATAAAGTTAATGGAATGTGATAATTGTAAATATTCTTTTTACATGAAATTAAATTATAATTTCTATGTTATAAATCTATTAATA